TGCGTTTCTAGCACGTTTTGTGCAATCAATCAAGTGACTACATTTAAAACAATGGAACTGACGCTACACTAGGGTTGTAACGGTATGAATTTTTCACGGTATGATAATCGTCTAAAACAATACCACGGTTTGACGGTTTCGCGGTATACGGTATGTTACAAATGTTACAAAATAATAAAACAGTGAAGCAAATTTTACTTTTTCCAAATAATATATTTTTTAGTTACTATAAACAACACCACTTACAATGAACAAATAAAAAAATAAGAAAATAATAAATAATGTGTCAAAGTCCAAATAAAGTCCAAATAAACATGGTGCAAATCCTCAGTAAAAAAATAGATATAAATATTTACTATACTATAAATTGTTACATAACGAAACTAGATTCAATATGGAACATCCTTAGGTTTTATGTGCCAGCATGGATATGGTTGTCTGTGGATATGGATTTGGATATGGTTGTCTGCAATGCAGACAAACAGCTGCATCTTCATTTGTGTCTATTGAAAACAGCAAGAGCAGCACTTCGTCTTTGCTGTGTCACTGTTTTGTCATGTTTCTGTGCTGCTGTGCATGCAAAAGTACTTAGTATGAGAATTATTTCATGCAAAACTTTTTTTTTTTGCGTTTTATTTAGCCGCGCATAAATGTATGCTCTCTCATTCCGTGTTGTTCAAAAAGCTTGGTCCACAAACAAAAGCGAAACCTATGCTTATTGGTTGTGATATAGCGAGTTTGAACCAATCTGGGCATGGAGGAGGGATAATGCATCAATGTATCATGTCTGATTTGTCCGGAGACACAGTGACGAGCGTTTCTTTGTCAAATCAGCGTTGTCAAATGTTGATGACGTAACCGCACTGATTCCGGAGCCTCTGAAAGTCCGCGAATGTTATGTGCACTGGAAAGCTGAGACTCTCTTCTTTATGCCAATCTTTGAATTGTATGAATCGGATCAGCGGATCAAAAGTTATTAAACATTTAAGAGCAATACTTATTTTTAGCCGTGGGCGGCTTTCTCGGTCTTTAAGGGTTAAAACCGTTGATATGCAATTGTTCATGGTATGATAATCGTGCACGTTCAAATCGTGGTAAACCGTCATACCGGTATATTGTTACAACCCTACGCTACACTAAGAATGTTTGAAACACATTGCATTATTGAGATTTTTTTTAGAAACTGAATGGCATATCACTATGATCTTTCCTTATAAAGAAAGAGCGGGTTATTAATTAAGCCTCAGAGGGGCGCCTAAACCTCTGAACAAAATCAAATATGAATGATTCTGAAAGCACAAAAATAGACCTGCCCTTTAAACTGCTCTGAAAAGACTGAAACTATTTTCCAGACCAAAATATCTGCTTTTCTAACCGATCACATGAGCTACTTTCAAGTTACTGATAATCCTAAAGCTTCCCTCAATGGGTGTTTGGAAACACATGCTGCTGAATCTGAGTTTCTCTTTTTTTTAGCATTAAACATTTTCATTCTTCTGAAACTTTAAGATGAATGAGCTGAAATGCATGAGAAGGACTTGACCAACATCTGTGACTGCTGAGAAAGTCATTAAAATTAACTTTAAACTGGTCTCACAGCTGACAAATGTCTACAAAGACCACCAAAAAAAAAGAGCTTAACCAGCTTAAAAAAAAAATCTTTCGCAAAATGTTTCTGAGTAAAAAAAACAAGATATAGATATAAGAAACAGAGCTACCCCAAATATCATCCTAAATATTCTCATTGTAGCACAATATCCATGCCATCTCTGTAATACGATTACACTACAATTTCTGTAATACGAATCATAATACTTTGATTTCCTTCAAAAATATAATGCAGAAAAAGAATATTGAAAGAGGGAAGTCATATATACCTAGGTTGAGTAAATAAAGTGTACTATACTGCTTACAGTATCTTCAACCCTTTGTTAATGAATACTACCAGATACTGTAGTATTAACTATAGTGAACTGATAAACTGTAATAAATAAATGCAGTATACTATACTATAGTTCCTACTACAGCAAACTGTGGTGTATTGTTGCATAATATAGCCTATAGGATATCGTTTATTATCGTATATCGTAGGATATTGTATACCTATTGTTGTGTTACTACAGAGTATATTAAGTAATACTTTAACTATATAATTACTATAGGGCTGGGCCAACACAATCTCACGGCAATTCATAACCTTTTGATTTAGTGGCTACTTCGAATTAATTTGTACGATCTAATTCGTACAATTTAGTATGACTTGCTCATCCCTCAGTGACGGTTGGGTTTAGGGGTGGGGTTAGGTGCCATGCCTCCTTTTTAAAATCGTACGACTGACAGTTTCGTACGAATTAACTCTTACGAATTCGTACCACTAAACTGGCAAAACGTAAAATACTTACGTTTTCTCGTGAGATCAGGCTGGCTGGGCCGATAAACGATATTATATCGAATCACGATAAAGTTTGTGTCAATAACAATAATAAGCTCTGGACCTTTTTACCCTATATTGACCTAAGAGCACCTGAAACTACGGATACTGGAAGCCTGTTCTGGCATTTCTCCTGCGGTGTTGATATCAGTGTGTGAAGAGTGAGAGAAGAGGGTTGCATAGACAATCCAACACAATGGGCAGCACATTGAACGTTTTATAAGTGGTCAGAAACTTGTAAATAACTCATGAACAAATAAAGTAACGTCAAAACAAAGCACACCATTGTTTTGCTTGTGAAATTCCCAACAAGTTTGATGTGTCAAATGACCCTCTTCCAACTGAAAAAAACAAAAGTTAGATCCAAGATTGTCGACTTCAAAAAAGGGCCATCATGGTCACCACCCATCTTGAAAAGTTTGCCCCCTCACATATACTAATGTGCCACAAACAGGACGCTAATATCACCAACTATTCCCATTTTATTAAGGTGTATCCATATAAATGGCCCACCCTGTATGTTATATATATTACTATAGTTGTTGTGTTACTAGTGGAGTACAGAATACGATAACTATAGAATTACTATAGTATTTTTTTCATGTGGGCGGATAAGAATTAAAGAAAAGAAACTCATACACGTTTGGTAAAGAGTGGAGGGGTGTGTAAATCATGATACAAATCTCATTCTGGATGTGAATAAAGTTTAACGTTAACTGCTAACCAAAACAGAACCAAAGTCAAGTTCAATCTCCGTTTAAAACACAAACACCACTAACGTTAGTGTTTTGCACATTTAGCACATTAACTTCAGTTTTTGTACCATGGTGAAAAACATTAGCAAACTATACTATTTTCAAACATTCTTTCATAAAAGACTAAACAAGTACGTCAACAAACACAAATCACTAAATAAATGAAGTGGTATAAGTGAAATAAATAATGTAGTATACTACTTTAGTTATTACTACAGTAAACTGTGGTGTACTGTTGTATAAAATATCTTATAGTGGGATAAAACTACAGTACAGGGTTATTTGTATATATTATTATTGTTGTGTTACTAGTAGAGTACAGAATACTCTAACTATTGAATTACAATAGTATATATTTTTTCATGTGGGCGAATATGAACTGAAGAAACTCATACAGGTTTGAAAAAAGCGGAGGGGTATGTGCAAATCATGACACAAATTTCATTCTGGAAGTTTAACGTTAACTGCTAACCAAAACAAAACTCGTCAAGTTTAATCTCCGTTCAAAACACTAAAACACAAACACCACTAACATTAGTGTTTTAGACATTTAACAGTACATTAACATGCTACTAAAACTTCAGTTTTTGTACCATGGTGAAAAACATTAGCATATTTTCAAACGTACTTGTTTATTCTTATACGAAAGAATTTCAACAAACACAAATCGCCTATCACTAAATAAATGAAGTGGTATAAGTGTAATAAATAATGTAGTATACTAACGTTACTTTAGTTTTCACTACGGTAAACTCTGATGTACTGTTGTATAATATATCTTATGACGTTAGTTGGACAAAACTACAGTACTTGGTTATTTGTATATATTGCTATTGTTGAGTTACTAGTAGAGTACAGAATACTCTAACTATTGAATTACAATAGTATATATTTTTTCATGTGGGCGAATATGAACTGAAGAAACTCATACAGGTTTGAAAAAAGCGGAGGGGTATGTGCAAATCATGACACAAATTTCATTCTGGAAGTTTACGTTAACTGCTAACCAAAACAAAACTCGTCAAGTTCAATCTATGTTCAAAACACTAAAACACAAACACCACTAACATTAGTGTTTTAGACATTTAACAGTACATTAATATGCTACTAAAACTTCAGTTTTTGTAACATGGTGAAAAACATTAGCGTACTATACCATTTTCAAACATTCAAGAATAAACAAGTACTTCAACAAACACAAATCGCCAATCACTAAATAAATGAAGTGTAATGAACAATGTAGTATACCACTTAAGTTTTTATTACAGTAAACTGATGTACTGTTGTATAATATATCTTAAAACGCTAGTTGGATAAAACTACAGTACTGGGCTATTTTTTGTATATATTACTATTGTTGTGTTACTAGTAGAGTACAGACTACTCAAACTATTGAATTACATTAGTATATATTTTTTCATGTGGGCGGATATGAACTGAAGAAAAGAAACTCATACAGGTTTGAAAAAAGCGGAGGGGTGTGTGTAAATCATGACACAAATTTTATTCTGGAAGTTTAACGTTAACTGCTAACCAAAACAAAACCAAACTCGTTAAGTTCAATACACTAACGTTCAAAACACTAAAACACAAGCACCACCATGGTGATTTAGATGTTTAACACAGTAAACATGCTACTAATCCTTCAGCTTTTGTATAACGGAGGTAAATATCATAGTAGTACAGTATTTACACATTCTTTCATATGATAAATGAACAAATCTGTACTTCAACAAACACAACGCGCCAATTTCCAGATAAATGAAGTGTTTTGTTAGCTGTTTGACCGTGTGTGTGTCCAGCAGCGGCTATAC